GAACATAGGATTTCATCTTATTTTTACATCAAATAAATAATTTTATTCTAATATTTCCAATTTCATAATGCCTAGAAATTGTCAGGTCCTCAAAATACCACCACGCCTGGCCAAAAATATTATTTTTATTTTATGTATATGACTCTATTACCTGCACTTAAGTGTATCTGTGATGTGCCATGCCTGTGGAGGTCAGAAGAGGGGGTTGGATCCCCTGGAACTGGAGTTATGGACAGTTGTTAGCCGCCATATGGTGCTGGGAATCAAACCTGGGTCCTCTGCAAGAGCAGCCAGTGCTCTTAACTGCTGAACCACCTCTCTAGCCCCTAAGACAAGGTTTATTTTATTTTAATTTTTATTGTATTTTACTTTTTCTTGGTCTTTTTGGGACAGTGTCTCCCTGTAGACCAGGCTGGCCTTGAAGACAAGGTTTATTATTTATTTATTTATTTATTATTTATTTTTTATTTATTTTGCTATTTTTGAGACAGGGTCTCCCTGTAGCCTCACCTGCCCTGGAACTTGCTACATAGTCCAGGCTGGCCTTGGAACTCACAGAGATCCGCCTGCCTCTCTTCTAAGTGCTAGATCAAAGGTGTGAGCCACCATACCTGGTGACAGTGTTTATTTTATTTTGTTTGGTTTCTAACAGGGTTTATTTTAAAGACAAATTCATTATATACCTTTAGCATGCCTGAAACTCAATATGTATTTATTTTAAAAAATTTTGTGTGTTTGAGTGTTTTGCCTTACGTGTTTGTAAATGCACCATGTGTGTACAGTGCCCGAAGAGACCAGAAGAGAGTGTTGGATCCCCTAAAACTGGAGTTAAGGATGGTTGTCAGCTGCCTTGTGTGATGGGAACCTAATCTCCCTGCCCTATAGTGCTCTTAACTGATGAGCCATCTCTCCAGCCCCTGAAACTCAGTTTGTAAACCAAGCTGACATCCAGCTTACACCTTAACCTCTAAAGCAATGGGACTATAGGTGTGTACTACCATGCCTGGCTTGACAACTTGTTTTCTAATGTTTACTTTTGATATTACTGTACTTTCAGAGATTTATGTTAATATTTCAAACATTTATGTTACTACTCTTTTGTTCTGTAAAATTGATTAGAGTCAGAAATTCTTTGTTTCCTTTTTTCCTATGTAGCCCAAGCTATCTGTCTGCTCAAGATCCTTCTAAGTGCTTGGATTTTAGTTGTGTGTCACCATGCCTGAGACATTCTTTTATCATTTATAGTTGATTACAGTAGTGTTAATAGAACTGTCTCTTTGTCATCTGATACTCTTCATTCCATGATCTGATTTTTTTTTTCTTGGTGTTGCAAACTAAGCCCCAGGCCCTCTTGTGAACTAGGCAAGCACTTTACCATTGAATTAAATCCCCAACCCATGATCTTACTTTTCTATAGGAAAGTGAAAAGCTCAAAGCATATTTGAACTCAAAATTGCGTAGCAACTGCCTAGTTCAATTCCCTGATTTTATAGATGAATAATGTGGTTCAACCTTTGATTTCATTATTTGTTTTAGGATTCTGTCTTGAAGGGAATGCCTGTATTTATAGTTTGTTTCATGATATTTTCTCACTAAAAAGATCGTAGGACAAGATGCTTACTTTTGCAAGAATATGACGAGAAAGAATGGACAAAGTATAGAGCAGTGTTTGTGATTCTTCTAGGAAAACCTCACATGCATTCTGGAGAAGAATTACCATTACTGTCATCAGGGAGTCAATCTGCAAAACCCGGAACCCAGCCCAGGAAACCATCCCAGCCAGGTGTTTCTGCTTTTCCTCAAGAAAAGCCACTCAGGAATCTGGTTCACCAAGCTGAGGAAGAGATAGAGGATGGCGGACTCTTTATTCCAATGGGTAGGCTTTCTTTTTCTTAGTTAAAAACTACACTGAAGGAGCTGGAGAGATGGCTCAGCAGTTAAGAACACTGGCTATTCTTGCCTCCCACAGCCTCTCTGTCCTCCTCAGACATTGCATGACACTGGTGCACTTACCTACATGCAGGCAATACATAAATACACATGTAATTTTTTTTTTAAGTCTTTTAGGCAGCACTCGGGAGGCAGAGGCAGATGGAGCTCTGTGATCTGTACATCCGTAGCCTGATCTACATAGCGAGTTCCAGGTCAGCTGGGGCTACAGGGAGACCCTGTCTCAAAAAGATGAAAAAAAAAAGAAAAAAAACTACACTGAAACAAGCAATTGAAGTATATACTCTCTGTATAAGACATAGAAAATTATACATATCAGCTATCCTGAGTTTTCTGTCAGGATAATGGCATATTCTGAGTTATCTACCCTTTCAGTTAGTATCTGACCTTGAACTCACTGAAATCTGCCTGCCTCTGCCTCCCCAGGGCTGGGATTAAAGGTATGTGCCACCATGTCCTGAGTATTCCGTTTTCTTGTTTGTCATTTATTATTTTGGGAATTGCCTTGGGCTTCTTCATGAAGTCTTAAAGTATTCTACCTCTGACCTATATTCCCAGTTATTATTTTTCCTTGGTAGATAAACTAGGAATGGTTGTAAGTCATGGTAAGTGTATGTTGAACTTTGTGAGAAATGGTCAAACTGGTCAGGTATGGTGGTACATGCCTGAAATCTCAACACTTGAGGGTTGGAAGGAGGATCAGGAGTTCAAGGCTAGCCTCCACTATTAGTTGACCAGCCTGAGTTTTGAACCAGTGTTGGAAAAAAGATAAACAGTTAAACAAACTGTAAGGTGCCTATACTTTTTTTTTCTGATCTTTACCACCCGTGTGTGAGATTTGTAGTTGATGTAAGTAAAATTTGATTACTAGCACTTTCTAGACTTTACCATTTTACCTATTCTCATAGGTGTTCAGTGATATTTCATTGTGGTTTTAACTTGAATTTCTCAAATGAGTGATGACATAGAGTATATTGGCCATGTGTTTATCTTCTTTGGAAAAAGGTTTGTTCATTATTCTGTTGTTTATTATTAAGTTGAAAGAGTTTTTTTTTTTTTTTTTTTTAATTTTATGTATGAGTGTATTGCTTGCATGTAGTTAAGTGCACCTGTGTGGTGCAGTGCCCTCGGAAGACAGAAGAGGCTGTCGGAGCCCCTGGGACTGGAGCTACAGACAGTTGTTAGCTGCCATGTGGGTACTGGGATTCGAACCCAGGAACCCGAGTCTTCTGCAAGAACAACCAGTGTTCTTAACCACTGAGCTATCTCTCTAGCCCAAAAGATTTTTTTTTTTTTAAGTAGGGTTTCATTTGCATGGTGGAGGCCGTCCTCATATTTGAGATATTTCTGTTTAAGTTTGCCTAATGTTGGGATTAAGTTTTAAAAAGATTTATTTTTATTTATGTGTATATGTCTGTGTGCATGAGTGCCTGTGGAGGGCAGAAGAGGATGTCAGATCCCCTGGAGCTAGAGTTACAAGTAGTTGTGAGTCACCAGATATGGTTGCTAGGAATTGAACTCTGAGCAAGTGCTTTTAACTGCTCATTCATCTCTCCAGCCCCTAACTTTCTTTCCTTTTTAAGGGACATAAATTAATTTTTTTTTTTTTTAAATTTTTGGTCTTTTTGAGACAGGGTCTTCCTGTAGCCCCATCTGGCCTGGATTCGCTATGGAGACCAAGCTGGCCTCGAACTCACAGAGATCCACCTGCCTCTGCCCCCCCCCTCCTGTGCTGGGATAAATGGCGTGCGCCACCACGCCTGGCTTATAAATTAATTTTTAAAAATTTAAATTTACTTTTTAAAATTTTATGTGTATAAGTACTTTGCCTGCATGTGTATAGGTATACCCATGACATGCAATGTCTGAGGAAACCAGAAGAGAGCATCGAATCCCCTGGAACTGGAATTATGGATGGTTCTTAGCTGCCATGTGGGTGTTGAGAGCTGTACCTGGGTCCTCTGCAGGAGCAGCCAGTGCTCTAACCACTGAGCCATCTTTTCATCCCACTCCCTTTTTTTCTAAAGTGTTTTATTATTTATTTATTTATTTATTTTTAAAATTTCATGATATCAGCCGGGCGTGGTGGCGCATGCCTTTAATCCCAGCACTTGGGAGGCAGAGGCAGGCAGATCTCTGAGAGTTAAAGGCCAGCCTGGTCTACATAGTGAGTTCCAGGACAGCTGGGGCTACAGGGAGACCCTGTCTCAAAAAGACAAAAAAAAATTTGTGGTATTGTTAAAGCTTGGTAGTACAGTTTTGTCAATAAATACTCAAAAATTATAGTAGACATACAGAACTGTGAGCAGTTTGTTTCTTAGTTATCTGTACTGTACCTCTTCCACCATGAGGGTTCAGGGATTGAGCTCAGGTCATCAGGCTTAGCAACAAGTACCCTTAACCACTGAACCATCTCACCCCACTCCCTAGGTTTTCTTTTGAGACAGGGTTGTACTCTGGCATGGAGCTTAGGTTTTAACCACCTTGCTCAGTTCTGTTTTTCCTTTGACATAGGGTTTCACAAGTTGACTTTGAATTTTATGTTTTTTTAATGTGTGTGTGCAAGTATATGTGTGTAAGACAGAGGTTGATGTTGGGTATCTTTCCAATCACTTTCTACCTTATGTTTTTTGCAACAGGATCAACCTGGAGCTTGTCAGGACTGGCAGGGATTGCCCCGTGTCTGTCTTCCTCCTACTGTGTTTACTGGTGCACACTGCCTTGCCAGGCTTTTTCACGTGGGTTCTGGGAATCAGCTCAGGTCTTCATTCTTGGGCAGCAAACACTTTACCAACTGAGTAATTTCCTCAGGCCTTCCCCATGAAGGTGTTTTTCTTGTTTTTAAAACAGAGAAGGTTGTATTGATTGCCTTTCTAACTCCTTGTCTTCAAGTAGTAGTTTGGGCCCACACCTTTTTCATCCCAGCACTTGAGAGGCAGAGGCAGGTAGCTCTCTCTGAGTTTGAAGTCAGCTCGTCTACATAGGGAGTTCCAGGCCAGGTGGGGTTACAGGGAGATCCTGTCTCAAAAACAAAAAAAACCCTCCAAGCAGTAAAATAGTAGTAAACCAGAAGCATTAGAGAAGTTCCAATCTCCTTTTGGCGTTTTGTGATAATCTAGTATGAGGCTTACTAGAATATCATCTTCAAGTTTTGTGTAGTTATATATGGGCTACTTTTCTGTAGAATAGGGATATTTCTCTTTCTCCCTTTTAAAAAAAATTATTTCTTTTATTATTTTTATTTTATGTGTATGAGTATTATCTGCGTGTATGTAAGTGTACCTGTGTCATGCAATGCCCACAAAGGTCAGAAGAGGGTGTTGGATCCCCTGGAACTGGAGTTACAGACAGTTCTTAGCTGCCATGTAGGCACTGGGAATTGAACCTGGGTCCTCTGCTAAAGCAGCCAGTGCTCTTAACCGCTGAGCCATCTCTCCAGCCCCTTTCCCTCCCTTTTTGCTTAAGTTCAAAGTAGAGTTTTATTTATTATTTTTTTAAATGTTTTATTTTTTATTTTTATTTTATATGTATGAATGTTTTACCTGCATATACATAAGTGCACCCCTGTTGTAGAGTGCCTTGTAGAGGCCAGAAGATGTCAGATCCTTTGGAACTGGAGTTAATGGACGTTTGTTAACTGCCAATTGTGTACTCAGAATCGAACCCCAATTCTCTGGAGGAACAGGATATGTTCTTAACTTCTGAGCTGTCTCTCCAGCCCCAAGTAGATTTTTAAATGGTATTTTTCCTTGTTTCTTTCTTTTTTTGGTCTTTTTGAGACAGGGTCTTCCTGTAGCCCCATCTGGCCTGGAACTCACTATGTAGACCAGGCTGGCCTTGAATTCTCAGAGATCCACCTGCCTTTGCCTCCTGAGTGCTAGGACTAAAGGCGTGCAGCACCGCGCCCAGCTCCTTGTGTCTTTTTTTTTTTTTTCAATTTTATGTGTATATGTGTATTGCCTGCATGTAGGTAAGTGCACCCATATCATGCAATGCCCGAGGAGGTCAGAAGAGGCTGTTGGATCCCCTGGGACTGGCGTTACAGATAGTTGTTAGCTGCCATGTGGGTGCTGGGATTCAAACCCAGGTCTTCTGCAAGAACATCCAGTGTTCTAAACTGCTGAGCCATCTCTCCAGCCCCTCCTTGTTTCTTTTTTATAGATCAAATGGTATGATTATGTTTGTGTAATGTTTCAATGATTATAAAGCACTTGGATAAATTTAATTTGTTTTGCATGAAATCTCTAGTAGACAGATATCCATATTTTACAAAGAAACACAAAACATTGAGATCCCATTACCATGGTTACTTAGTTAAGTTGTGAAATTGGGGCACAGACCTAAGATTCCTAATCTGTATAGAGTAATCATTTCTGCACATTCTAGAGTTGGAATGTTTGGCTTCTGTATGTGACTGATATTGGGGTGTGGTGGTGTGGTTCACCTATAATCTCAGTGCTCCAGAGGTTGAGGCAGGAGGATCAGGAGTGGAGGCCAGCCTAGGTTCCATCAAGGACCCTGTGTCAGAAACAGAACAAACAAATCAACAAGCATTCTTACTCAATAGCTCTTGGTTTTTGTGTTTTTAAAAAATATTTTATATATAGGCCAGGTGTGGTGGTGTGTTGGCTGTGGTGGCAGGTTTCGCTGCTGGGCGGGTCTCTGGCTCTCCATGGCTGCTGTGTAAGAGGAGAGCGGCTTTTTTTTCTTTTCGAGTAGGTACACCTGGGATGTAATCATTACTGGTACACAAAAGGTGGACAAAGAGAAATTAACACAGTTTTGGGCTTTTCCTTTGCACCATATGAAAAGAGGAGGGGTGACGCGTGCTGTACTGGAGAGAGTATTGTTAGTGAGGCATTTGTAATGAGTAGGCTTACTCTTGCTGGAAATGCAAATTGGATAGTTAGCCAGTTGTTCGAATAAGGGGACATCCATTAGATGAGAGTCAGTGAAATCTCTTTTTGTTCCTGGGTAGAGAAGGGTGGTATTAACTGGTACTGTTGTCAGTAAGGTCTATTGCTGGATGCACAAAAAAAGCAGTTAGACATTGGGGTAGGTGGTGAAGGGAAGAAAGAAAGCAACATACTGAATGTACTTGCTCCAGGACATAGTTGATCTTGTCTGGTCCTCTGTCTTTCCTGTAGAATAGTATTATGAGTTAGCACAGACTTAGCTGCAGGTACAAGCTGTCGAGAGATATGAAAGTCAGCTGTAGGGTAGCTAGAGAATGAGACTCTTAATCTCAGGGTCCTGGGTTCGAGCCCCACGTTGGGCACCAGCTGTTGGCTGTGGTGGCAGGTTTCGCTGCTGGGCGGGTCTCTGGCTCTCCACGGCTGCTGGGCGTCGGCGGCTCTGCACATCGGCGGGTCCGCGGTGGGGAGTGCAGGTTCTGCGCCAAGGCAGGCTGCCAGTCGCTGGTGGCTCTGCGGGTCGCTGCAAGCTGCCAGGTGGGCTGCACCAATCTGCAGGGGGCTCAGGCTAGCTGCGGGGCGCTCCCCCTCGGCTCGTGGGTCATTGGCCACCGAACCATGAGGGCGGGGGAGGTGCAGGAATGGCGAACGCAGAATCTTCACGAGTGAATGTTGATGGGGGACAGCTCCTCCGGGGAGACTGAATCACAGGCTGGTTACAGGCGCAGTGAGACACAGATCAGCCAAGTTCAATGATCTCAGTGATACAGCTCTGCTTTATTAGGGTGAAACTAGAAGATTTATAGTGTGGAGGCAGTAGCAAAAGCCTCAGCTGATAGGTGCTCTGTAGGATGCTTCATTTACATGTGGAGGTGGGCTTCTATGCTGTCAGACAGTGCCTGATTATCACATAGAAAAAACCCGGTAGTTTCTATGCCAGAGGTGATGTATCTGTGGCGGCCAGAGGTGATGTATCTGTGGCGGCCACTTCAAAGTGAGCCAGGAGGAGAGCAGGAGGCGCCCTGCTGAAAAAGGGGAGTTTCTCCATCAAGCGCCGAGCCGGCTTGCGGCTATCCGGACATGGAGAGACTGTGACCCTAACAGCAGGGGTCCCCAACAGTGGTGCATACCTTTAGTCCCAGCACTCAGGAAGTAGAGGCAGGCGGATATCTGTGATTTCAAGGCCAGCTGGGGCTACAGGGAGACCTCTGTCTCAAAATTTTTATTTTTTATTTTTTATTTTTATTTTGTGTGTTTGAAGGTATTGCCTGCATGTGTATAAGGGCACCCATGTCATATAATGCCCACAGAGGTTAGAAGAGGGTGTCAGATTCCCTTGGAACTAGAGTTATGGACAGTTGTTAGTCACTAGATGGGTGCTGGGAATCAAACTTGGGTGCTCTATAAGAGCAGCCAGTACTCTTAACCACTGAGCCATTTCTCCAGTCCTTGTGTTTGTTTTTCTATTTGTTGTTTGAGATAGAGTCTCACCTAGACTGGCCTGGAATTTACTGTGTAGGTAGGCTGGCCTGGTAAAACAATTATCTTCTTGCCTTAGCCTCTAGAGTGGGACTATAGGTATTAGCTACTATCAGTGAGTCTCTTGCTTATTTGTTTTTGAGACTATGACTCAGGTTACCCAGGCTAGCCTTGAACTCCTGATCTTCCTGCCTCTGCTTCAGAAGTGCTGGAATTTACTGGAGAGCTAGTTCAGCAGTTAAGAACACTGGCTGCTCTTCTAGAGGATCCAGGTTTGAATCCCAGCACATACCATGGCAGCCAACAACCATCCATAACTCTAGTTCCCAGGGATCTGATGCCCTCTTCTGATCTCCTCAGGCATCACATGGCACAGGTGCACTTATACACACACAGGCAATACATTCATACACATAAAATAAAAATAATAAAATATTTGAGGAGCTGGAGAGATGACTCAGCAGTTGGGAACACTGGCTGCTCTTGCAGAGCTCCTGAGTTCGATTCCCAGCACCCACATGGCAGCTAACAACTGTCCTTAACTCCAGTTCCAGGGAATCCGATGCCCTCTTCTGACCTCCTTGGGCATTGCATGACACGGGTGCACTTACATACATGTAGGGCAATACACTCAAACACATTAAAAAAAGAAAAAAAGCGGTGGCATTGCTGGCATGTACCACCCATGTCCATTGTACTCTTGCAAAAACATTTGTTGATTTGTTTTATGTGTGTTGGTTAGGGGATGGGTCCGAGTGTGTATCATGGTGCACATGTAGTGGTCAGAGGACAACTTGTGGAAATTGGCTCTCTCCTTTTACCATGTAGGTTTCAGGAATTGGTAGCCAGTCTTGGTGGCAAGCACAGTTGTTACTTGCTGAACCTTCTTGCTGGTCCCTCTGTTTTTTTTTTTAACACAAAGGTTCTTGATGCCTTTACTGAGTTCATTATGCAGATGGGCCGGGAACTTGTCATCCTCCTGTCTTTGCCTCCCAGGGTATTGTAGATTTACCACTCACCTCTCAGGAGAGCACTAATGTCTCTGTTTCACTTTTCTCATTTGTATGAAGGGAAAATATTAGCCTCTACCAAATGGGGTTGTTTACTCAGGAGAGAAAGGAATATGTAGAAGAGTGTCTGACATCAAAATTCTGTGAATGAGGCTAGAGAGATGGCTTCACAGCTAAAAACGTGCTGTTTGTGCAGAGGACCCAAGTTTGATTCCAAGAACCCATGTGAGGTGACTTATAACCAAACTGAAAGTCCAGCTGCAGGGGATCAGGTGCCTTTGGCCTCCACAGGAACCAACACTTATATGTACATACCCCCATATAGAATTAAAAAAATATTTTTAACTGAACATTGTGGTTCATACCTTTAATCCCAGACAGAGGCAGGTGGATCTCTGTGAGTCCAAGGCCAGCCTGGTCTACATAGTGAGTTCTAGGGCTGAATAGTGAGACCTTGTCATAAGACAAAAAGCTATGACTTTTGGTTGGCTATTATCCTACTACTGTACCATGGCCAAAATCTACCATAAACTGCCAGCACATGTTATGGTGCTTGGTTTGAAAGGAAAGACGGTGGCAGCTGGATTTTGCTTGATCAACCCTGGGCCTAAGGATTGTGTCTTGCTGTCAGCCCTCAAGCTCAGTGCCCACAGCAGCCGCTTTGGAGACTGGTGATGCTCTTCTTGGTTATTTGCAGATCAAGACAGTGAAGAAAGTGAGAAAAAGAAAAAGAACAAAAAGGGGACCAAGAGGAAACGGGATGGACAGGGTCAAGAACAAGGGACTTTGGCGGATGACCTCAAACTGGATGACATGCTCGATCGTACCTTAGAGGATGGTGCCAAGCAGCACAATTTGACAGCAGTCAACGTTCGGAACATCCTACATGTGAGTAACATGAGGCAGCCATGCATTTAGAATAGAGACTTTTTTTTTTGTCTTTTTGAGACGGGATCTCCCTGTAGCCCCAGGTGTCCTAGAAGTCACTATGTAGACCAGGCTGGCCTCAAACTCACAGAGATCCTCCTGCCTCTGCCTCCCAGGTGCTGGGATTAAAGGTGTGTGCCGTCATGCCCGGCTGGAGACTTTTCTTTTTTTAAATATATTTATTTTATTTTTATTTTATGTGTATGAATGTGTTGCCTGCAAGTATGCAAGTGCACCCGTGTCATGCGATATCACAGAAATCAGAAGAGGGCGCCGGATTCCCCTGGAACTGGAGTTAAGGACAGTTGGTAGCCGCCATGTGGGTGCTGGGAATTGAACCTGGATCCTCTGCAAGAGCAGTCAGTGCTCTTAACCATTGAACCATCTCTCCAGCCCTGGAATAAAGACTTTTCATGGAGTGCAAATAAATGACTCATAGATTCCTTGTCTCTTGGTACATGAATTACCAGTTTCATGGGTTACCTATGACAAAACATTTTACATCTTTCCCTTTCCACTCAGTATAAGTTTGAAATCTGACACATGCTACCTTTTCCTCTTCCAGGGATGGTATATAAGGCACTCAGAATGGTCCAGCTTTTGACATACTGTCGTAGGCTTTCCTGCAACACAGCCTCTAACAAAACTAGGCTGTCCCGAACCCCTGGTAACAGGATTGTTTACCTTTATACCAAGAAGGTTGGGAAAGCACCACAGTCTGCGTGTGGTGTGTGCCCGGGCAGACTTCAAGGGGTTCACGATGTGAGACCTAAAGTCCTCACGAGGTTGTTAGTTGAGACGATAAACTACTTTTCACTGATTTTATTGTTTACTGTTTAGTAAATTTGAAGATGGTAAATGGTGTTCTATGTCAACAAAGCCTCCCTAGTAATTTCTAATGCATTGTTCATATGTAAAGAATGTGTTTACTATATAACACCTCTTGAAGGTCTTAGCCCAAAGTCTTTGAATTACTCCTGGGCCTGACAACAAGTAACAAGATTGGGCCGTTTGCTGCTTTGTTGTTTGAAGACTTGCTTCCACCTCCTCCATCTGTAGTTGCATTGCTCAACCTTAGTTTGAAGCTATTTGAGAATACCCCTTCCATTTACCCTCCACAAAGGTCCAGCTGCAGAGGTACATAGAAGTTATTATTGTCTATATGACAAACCCTTTGGCCTAAAGTGGAATTTCCTTTTTTTTCAGGAAGTAATCACAAATGAACATGTGGTGGCCATGATGAAAGCAGCCATCAGTGAGACAGAAGACATGCCAATGTTTGTGAGTAACTTTCAGTGTCGTGGAATAGGGTCTGTAAACTGGCTGAGTGTAGGAGCCCACAGAGGAGTTTGGAAACAACTGGACACTCAGACTTCAGAAATCGTACGGCAGGTTTGAACTCATAGAGATCTGCCTGCCTCTGCCTCCCAAATGCTGGGATTTAAGGCGTGCACCACCATGCCCGGCTTATATGGCATTTTTAAAAAAAATTATTTATTATTTTTTATTTTATGTGTATGCATGTGTTGCATGTAAGCCCACCCGTGTTGTGCAATGCCTGAAGAGTTCAGAAGAGGGTGTTGGATCCCTTGGAACTGGAGTTTCAGACAATTGTTAACTGCCATGTGGGTGCTGGGAATTGAACCCAGGTCCTCTGTAAGAGCAGCCAATGCTTTTAACCACTGAGCCATCTCTCCCTCCCCACATGGCACTTTTTACTGACTGTTTTCTTCTTGTTTCTACCTTCTTAGGAACCTAAAATGACACGCTCTAAACTGAAGGAAGTGGTAGAAAAAGGAGTGGTGAGTGTTTAGTGTTTTTTTTTAATCTTGGAAAATAGAATCTCAATCTGGGCTAGTCACAGGGAAGAAATATGTGAAAAATTTTGGTCTGGGTTCATCTTTTTTTTAATCTTTTTGAGACAGGTCTCCCTGTAGCCCCAGCTGGCCTGGTACTCGCTATGTAGACCAGGCTGGCATTGAACTCACAGAGATCCACCAACCTCTGCCTCCTGAGTACTGGGACTAAAGGTGTGCACCACCACGTCCAGCTGGGTTTGTCTTTTTAAAGAATTATTTGGGACGGAGAGATGACTCAGTGGTTAAGAGCACTGGCAGAGGACCCGAGTTTGGTTTCTAGCACCTACATGGCGATTAACAACCATCCATAACTTCAGTTTCAGGGTATCTGATGCCCTTTTCTGACCTTTTTGGGTGTTATACCTTTGTGGGTATTGTACAACATGAGTGCACTTACATACATGCAGCCAGTACACTCATACACATAAAATTATTAAAAATAATAAATAAAATATTTTTAAAGGAATTATTTGTGGGCTGAGCTGGAGATGTTAGCTCAATTCAAGAGTGCTTGCTTAACATACATGGAATTCTAGGTGTGAGCCACCATGCCCAGTTTTCTATGCAGTACCTAGAGATCGAATCTAGGGTTTGTACATGTTAGGCAAGCCCTCTGCCAACTAAGCTACGTCCCTAGCTCTTCCCGCCTTCTCTTCTTCTTTTTAATGTTTTATTCATTATTTTTATATTTTTATGTGCATGCATGTATTGCCTGCATGGAGGTAAGTGCACCCGTGTCATGCAATGCCCGAGGAGGACAGAAGAGGCCGTCGGACTGGAACTGGAGTTGTTACGGACAGTTGTTAGCTGCCATGTGGGTGCTGGGATTCGAACCCCGGTCTTCTGCAAGAACAACCAGTGTTCTTAACTGCTGAGCCATCTCTCCAGCCCCCCCTTCTCTTCTATGAAGCTTTGTTGTTGTTGTTGTTTGTTTGAGGTGGGATCATATGCTATAACTCAGGTTGGCCTAGAACTTACTGTGTAACCCAGGCTGTCTTTGAACTTCTTTTTAAAAAACTTATTTTTATTTGATGTACAAGAATGTTTGGAGCTGGACATGGTGCCACACGCCTTTAATCCCAACACTTGGGAGGCAGAGGTCGGCAGATCTCTTGAGTTCAAGGTCAGTCTGGTCTATGAGTTCCAGGACAGCTGGGGCTACAGGGAGACCCCGTCTCAAAAAGACAAAAAACAAACAAAAAAGAATGTTTTACCTTCATATATGTTAGTGCACCCATGTCATGCAGTACCAGAAGCCAGAAGAGGGTGTCGGTTGTTAGCTACCATGTGGGTTCTGGGGACTGAACCTGGGTCCTCTGTAAGATCAGCCAGTGCTGATCTTAACTGCTGAGCTATCTCCAGCCCCTGTCCTTGAACTCTCTGCAGTCCTCCCCTCTTAGCCTCTCAAGTGCTGGGATTATATGCCCCGTAAATATTTGAGAATATTATGCTCATTACCACTCATAGACCACTGTAGCTATTTACTAGGCAAATAACTTTTTGTGTTAATAAATGCAGATTAAAAGCAGTTTCATTTAATTATTTCATTCTTTTTGGTAGGTAATTCCAACTTGGAATATTTCACCCATTAAGAAAGCCAATGAACTTAAGGTAAACTTGGAAGAAACCTTTGTTGTTCTCTCCAGATGGTTCCTGAAACTTAACTTTTTAGACTATTTATTTATTTACTTATTTATTTATGAATGACAGGGTCTTCCTGTAGCCTGAATCTCATTATTTAGACCAGGTTGACCTCCTGAGTCTGAATGCTGGAATTAAAGATGGACTCCACCACACCCAGCCCTATTGCTTTGTTTTTAAGATTTATTTATTTGTATTTTATGTGCATGAGTGTTTGTCCCCATGTATGTATGTGTACCATTTGCATGCCTGGTTCCCTCAGAAGCTAGAAGAGGTGGTTGAATCCCCTGGAACTGGAATTATAGGTGGTTATTAACTGGCATGTGGGTGCTGGGAACCAAACCCAGGTCCTCTGCAAGAGCAGCCACTGCTGTTAACCACTGAGTCATCTCTCTAGTCCTTCCCTGTTTTAAATATGTTTGGGCTTTTTATGTACCATTACTCCTAATCTTGCATCTTAGGAATCATGTAACCCCTGGCCTATATCTTTCGATCTGACTATACATTATTAGACTCTTAGGATTGTTTTTTTCTGTCCTAGTTTCTTTTTTTAAAATATTTTATTTTTATTTTATGTGTATGAGTATATTGCCTGCATGTATGTGAGTGCACCAGTGTCGTGCAATGCCGCGCAGGTCAGAAGAGGGCTTCTGATTCTCCTGGCACTGGAGTTAAGGATGGTTTGTAGCTGCCATGTGGGTTCTGGGAATCGAACCCGGGTCCTCTGCAAGAGCAGTCAGTGCTCTTAACCGCTGAGCCATCTCTCCAGCTCCATGTCCTAATTTCTTTACTTTCAAATACATGTGATTTGTGCTTTCTGTCTCTTCCTCCCTCTCTCCTTCTTGTCCCTGTCTGCTGATGCAACCCAGAGCCTTGTGCATGGAAAGCATGCATCCTGCCTGTGAGCTCCACCTCTAGTTATGTTATGAAACATACTTTTTTTGTTGTGTTTTGTTTGTTTTTGTTTTGACAGTCTGGTTCGATTCTGCCTGGAAATCACTATGTGGACCAGTCTGGCTTTGATCTTATAGAGATTCAAAAGACATGTGCCACCATGCCTGACACTTAATTGATTTTTATTTTATCTGTGTCTTTGTGTGAGTGTATCTCACTAGTCTTCCTGTCTGTGGAGGCCGGAAGAGAGCACTGGATCTGTTTGAGCAGGAATTACAGGCAATTGTGATCCCAATGTGGGTGCTGAGTACTGGAAACTGAACTCTTCCTCTGGAAGAGCAGCAGCCGCTCTTACTATGGTGGGCTATCTTTCTAGCCCTTCCCAATTAGAAAAAACTTTTAAATTTATTCATTTTGTTCATGGGGGTTGTGGGGGGATCAGAAGCCATGGTGTTTGGAGGTCAGAGGACAACTTGAGGGAGTCAGTTCTCTGCTCTCACCATGCTGGTCCTAGGGGTTGAATCCAGGTCATCCAACTTGACAGCAAGTATCTTTACCTGCTGAGCCATCTTCCCAGCCCTGCACTCCCTTCTTTATGTGTTAATGCAGCCTCCGCAGTTTGTGGACATCCATCTTGAAGAAGATGACTCCTCAGATGAAGAGTACCAACCAGATGAGGAGGAGGAGGAGGAGACTGCTGAAGAGGTTTGTGAGTGTCCATTGTTAATGAGGAAGGGCATTTGGCTTGATAAAGGTTATTTGGTTCTTTTTTTAAAAAATATTTATTATTTTTATTTTATATGTATGAATGTTATGCCTGCATGTAGGTAAGTGCACCCATGTTGTGCAGTGACCATGGAGGACAGAAGAGGCTGTCAGATCCCCTGGAACTGGAGTTACGGAGGACAGTTGTTAGCTGCCATGTAGGTGCTGGGATTCGATCCTGGGTCCTCTGCAAGAACAGTCAGTGTTCTTAACTGCTGAGCCATCTCTCCAGCCCTGCTTATTTGGTTCTTTAGTATCACACCTATTCTATAGATGATTGATGATCTTTTTTGATAATCTCTTTGCTGTAAGATATTTTTCTGTTCTTCATATTCCCTCAGTATTTAAACTTAGGTTATAAATGTAGTGTAATTCCAACACTTGGAAGGAAGAAGCAGGAGGATAAGGCTAAGTTCATCCTCGGCTGTCCTGGTGTATTGTAGACTAGTCTGGGCTACATGAGACACTGTCTCAGAAACCAACCCCCTCCCTACCCCCAGTGTCCACCAGGGCAGGCAGCCTCAGGACCTGAATAGATTGTCAAGGAACTAAAAAAAGACCAGGGCACTCATGTGGTTTTATTTCTTTACTCTTATTTCTCCATCCATGCATGAGTACCAAAAGCACAGAAAACTCTGCTTATATACACATACTCATTGGAGTCACAGCAATATGAATAATAATAAAGTGGCTAGAATATAGTCGTTCAGTAAAACGTGAACAATGTAGCATTATCACCATAGTAGCCTTCTTGGGAGAACAGCTCCTCAGCAAGGAGGCTTGCATGAACTTTCTCATGAAACAAGGCCTTCCAGGCGTACATGCTCAGTGTTACAGCTTAAATTAACAAGCATATTTTTAAAGTCATAGGAACACTATTTCACAGTCTCTGCACCCCCCAACTTGATGTCTTGATAGTTAGTTTGCTTGTTTTTCTTTAGTTATATAACCTAAATAACCTAAATATACAGCTTTTTAAAAAATATATATTTTAGCCTGGCGTGGTGGCACACACCTTTAATCCTAGCACTCGGAAGGCAGAGGCAGGCGGATCTCTGTGAATTCAAGGCCAGCCTGGTCTACATAGTGAGTTCCAGGACAGCTGGGGCTACAGGGAGACCCTGTCTCAAAAAAAAAAAAAAAAATAAACCCCATATATGTGTGTGTGTGTATATATATATATATAGTTTTTTTTTATATTATGTGTGTGAATGTTATGCCTGCATGTAGGTAAGTGCACCCATGTTGTGCAGTGCTGGAGGAGAACAGAAGAGGCTGTTGGAGCACCAAAAACTGGAGTTACAGACAGTTATTAGCTGCCATGTGGGTGCTGGGATTCGAACCCAGGTCTTCTGCAAGAACAGTCAGTGTTCTTAACTGCTGAGCCATCTCTCCAGCCCCACACCTTTATATGTTATAGTTTAATGTTTGCTATTTATTTTGTTATTTTGTGTACACACATGCACGCACGCGCTCATGTTTGGAGTTCAGAGGACATTTTTGGGAGTCAGTCCTCTCCAACTACCCTGTGGGTCCCAGGGATTGAACTCAGGTGATCGGGTTTTGCCGCAAGCACCTTTCCTTACTGAGTTATCTCTCTGACTCCTGTTTATGAACTTTATACAGATGGACCCATAGTATGTGTGTTCTTTTGTTCATACCTTTTATGGCTATAGTTCATTTTCATTCCTATGTTTAATGATCTTTGACTTATAAAAGGATTTTAGCTGGGCATGGTGGTGTATTATCCCAATTTTATGTATATGAGTGCATTGCTTGCACTTATGTAAGGGTGCCGTATGCATTCAATGCCCATGAAGGCCAGAAGAGTGTGTTAGATCCCCTGAAACTGGAGTTATGGATGGTTGTTAGTTGGGAACCGAATAGGGATCCTCTGTAAGAGGAATCAGTTCTCTTAGCCACTGAGCCATCTCTTCAGCCCCTGAAAATTCATTTTCTGTACTATATATAATAAAACGTTTATTTTGTTTGTGCACATGTATATGTGTACATTGTATGGTGTACACATGTCTGTCAGAGGACATCTTGGCAGGAGTTAGTTGTCTCTTTCTACCCCATGGATCCTGGTGATCAAATTCAGATCATCAAACTTAGAAGCAGGCACCTTTTTCCACTGGAGGCCTCTTGCCAGCCCAAGAGATGTTTTTTTTTTTTTTTTTTTGGTCTTTTTGAGACAAGGTCTCTCTGTAGCCCTAGCTGTCCTGGAACTTGCTATGTAGACCAGGCTGGCCTTGAACTCACAGAGATCTGCCTGCCTCTGCCTCCTGAGTGCTGGGATTAAAGACATGTGCCACCATACCCAGCTGAGATGGGTATTTTATGATTTATTTTTTGTGATGTTTCATACATACCTCATACATAGAAGTGAACGGGGTTACTTTTTTAGAGTTTACTGGAAAGTGATGTTGAAAGCACTGCTTCATCTCCACGTGGGGCGAAGAAATCCAGACTGAGACAGTCTTCTGAAATGGCTGAAACAGATGAGGAGAGTGGCGTATTATCAGAGGTAAACCAGCACCTTATACAGGAGAGAAGTTAGATATAACTTCTAATATATAACTATATTAGCTGATTGCTGAACTGGGTAAGTAGGTGATTTATTAGTGGGTGATCCTGGGTTGTCACCCTTTTCAAAGTCCATTAAGTGAATGAACAAAGGTTTTCTGAGTTCTCATCAAGGGTCCAGAACTGTGTATCAGTTTCTTTTCTCCTCTTTTATCTCATACCCATGTTTTTAAAATACTATCTTTAAAGCCAATTAGTATTCTGTTTGCTTCGCTGGAAGTAGGATGAAACCTAGTTAGATTTGTGTCTTAACAGTGCCTTTTATGTGTCTCTATCTAGATAACACGAAAAAAGCCAATTTGTCTGCATGTGGAAAACCCACTGTTCTTCCCTCCCTCCTTTTTCCTTAACATACTATCCTTTTTTTTTCTTTCTTTTTTTGGTCTTTTTGAGACAGGGTCTCCCTGTAGCCCCAGCTGGCCTGGAACTCATTATTGTAGACCAGGCTGGCCTCAAACTCACAGAGATCCGCCTGCCTCTGCCTCCTGAGTGCTGGGATTAAAGGCGTGAGCCACTGCACCCGGCCTAACACACTATCCTTTTAATCAGGCTGAGAAAGTCACCATGCCTGCTCTCAGGCACATCAGTGCTGAAGTGGTGCCCATGGGACCCCCGCCTCCTCCAAAACCAAAGCAGACCAAGGATAGCACCTTCATGGAGAAGTTACATGCAGTAGATGAGGAGCTGGCTTCCAGTCCTGTTTGTATGGACTCTTTCCAGGTAAACATGGAAAGTCTAAATTGCTGAGAAAAGTAATATATGCTAATTTAGATGCTGTTCATGTTGAGAGCTAGAGAGAGAGCAAGTGTTTAAATTTTACACAGTAATTGCCATGATATTGTTTGACTTTGATACTCTTTTAAAAAAATTTTTTTTGTTTTTTGTTTTTTTGTATGAGCATATTGCCTGCATGAGATGGTTCAGTGGTTAAGAGCACTGACTGCTCTTGCAGAGGACCCAGGTTTAGTTTTCCAGTACAACTGACAATCATCCTTAACTCCAGTTCCAGGGGATCCAACACCCTCTTCTGACCTCCCAGGCATTGCACGACACAGGTGCACTTACATACATGCAGGCCATACACCCATACACATTAAATAAAAATAATAAATAAAAAATTTTAAAGTAGGTCGGGCCAGCTTGGGGCTGTACAGAGGCCCTGTCTCAAAAAGACCAAAATAAATAAATGAATAAAATAAAAATAAAAATGAACATTCAAAAACATTTAAAAAACCTTTGAGATACTAAATTATTTCTTTTTTTTGAGATGCTTTAAAAAAATTTTGAGACAGGGTCTCCCTGTAGCCCCAGCTAGCCTGGAAGTTGCTATGTAGACCAGGCTAGCCTTGAACTCACAGAGATCCACCTGCCTCTGCCTCCGGAGTACTGGATCTAAAGGTATGCACCACCATGCCCCATGAATGTTCATTTTTAAACTGATGTTATTTTTTTTTTAAATACTCAGACAACTGAAAAATAAAAGAAATAAAAAGAAAACTCAGGCAACAATAAATCCAAATTTCTTTAAGTCATGTGAGTAGCACAGAGGGGGTGCACTTTGGAGAGTTCGAAAGCATTGTTTTCACCTGAATTCTTTTCCTTTCTCTCTTGGCAGACCATGGAGGATAGTCTCATTGCATTCCGAACCCGTTCTAAGATGCCCCTGAAAGATGTTCCCCTGGGCCAATTAGAGGCAGAGCTTCAGGCTCCAGACATCACTCCGGATATGTATGACCCAAATACAGCTGATGATGAGGACTGGAAGGTGTGGCTGGGGGGCCTCGTAAATGATGATGTGGAGAATGAAGGTAAGTGGTTTTTGTTTACTTTTATTATCTATTCCATTTACTCTGGTTAAAATGTTTTATAGATTGCTGGGGGCTGGAGAGATGGCTCAGCAATTAGGAGCATGGGTTGCTCTTGAAGAGGATCCAGGTTCGATTCCCAGCACCCACATGACAGCTAATGACTATCTGTAACTCCAGTTCCAGGGGATCTATCACCTTCTTTTACCTCTGCACAACATGGGTATACTTACACACCTGCAGGCAATACACTCATACACATAAAAAAAAAAAGTAGTAAATTTTTTAAAAAGTATTTATTTCATTAAAAAAAATAGTTTTACAAATTGGAGTTGAGCACACCTTTAATTCTAGCACTTGAGAGGCAGAGGCAGACAAATCTCTGAGATCGAGGCCAGCCTTGCCTACATACTGAGTTCCAGGTCAGCTGGGACTACAGAGAGAAATAGAGTGTCTTATTTTTTCCTTTGTTCTCATACCAGAATCAAGATAAAGATTTCTATGACCTCAAAAAGTATGTGTGTTGGAGGTGGGGTTTGGGAGAGACAGTGAAATGGCTCAGCAGCTAAAGGTGCTTGCCATGAAGCCTGATGGACTTGAGTTTGATCCCTAGGACCCACGTAGTGGAAGGAGAGAACTGAGTCCCACAAGTTATCCTCAGACTTATACACACAGAAATATACACAAAAATAAATTTTTTTTAAAGACAGGGTCTTCCTGTAGTACCAGGCTGACCTTGAACTCTTGGAGATCTGCCTGCCTCTGCCTCCCAAATGCTGGGATTAAAAGTGTGCACTACCACACCTGGCCTATGAATGTTATTTTTAAAAAAATTTTATGTGTATGAGTGTATTGCCTGTGTGTAGGTCGGTGCACCTGTGTTGTGCAATGCCTGAGGAGGTTAGAAGAGGGCATTGGATTCCCTGGAACTGGAGTTACAGACAGTTGTTAGCTGCCATGTAGGTGCTGGGAATCAAGCCTAGGTCCTCTGTAAGAATGGTCAGTGCTCTTAACTACTGAGCCTCTCCAGCTCTCCAGCCCCATGAATGTAATTTTTAAACATTTAAACAACTGCAGCAAAAAGCAGGAGGATTTTTTTTTTATCAGCAAGCAAGCAGTTTTATAGGGTTGGATTTCCTAGAATCTCGCTCAATTGCAATACTGTCTGTTTAGAAATAGTATCAGATCCTCCAGGTTTTGAGGGCTCAGTTCCCAAGTCTGCTCCTTGTTTGGATTCCAGTCACAAGGCTCAAGTTGCTTTACCTATATAAACATCTGACTGCTAGTCATGGTTCCCATAGTACCCCGCCTGGGATTTCAGTAATTTGTTTGAATTGCACAAGAACTCAGTGGATGTGTCTGCAGTTTGTTATAAAGGAAATTACAAAGATGTAATTGAAGAGCTGCAAAAGGGGAGATGGAGGAAGGCTTCCATGTCTCTGTGGGCCTGAACTTTCCGGGGATTTCAGATGTTCAGCCATCTGGAGACTTTCCAAACCATACCCTTTTTGGTTTTGTTTTTTTTTTTAACTTATTTATTTTTATTTTATGGGTATGAGCATTTTGCCTGCATGTATGTAAGTGTTCCCATGCTTGTAATGCCCATGGAAGCCAGAAGAGGAGGTTGGTTCCTCTGGATCTGGAGTTTCAGACCATTGTTAGCTGCCATATGTGTGTTGGGAACCCTCAAGAGCAGCCAGTGCTCTAACTGCCAAGCCATCTCTTGAGTCTGAAATAACCCAGGATATCTTGGTTTTTGTTTCTGTTCTGTTTGTTAGTTTGTTTTGAGATAGAGTCTCCCTATAGCCCCAGCTGGCTTGAAACTCACTATGTAGTCCTGTCTGGGCTCCATCTCACAGAGATCAGCCTGCATCTGCCTCCCAGCTGGTTGGAATTAAAGGTATGTGCCACCATGCCTACTCCTTTTTGGTTTTATGGAGACCTTGTTGTATAGGCATGATTACTAATAGCCTGGGTGGGGAAACCCAGCAAAGCTTGTCCAGTTCAGATTGTTGGCCTCTTTGTACAGCATTCCTTTCTGTAGTATGTAAACTAAGACCTCAGCAGGGTCTTAGGATTTAGGTAGGTCAGAGATTTTCCTTATGGCCAGCTAAAGGCCAGGAAAGAATGGAATGGTGATGCACGCCTATAATTCCAGCATTAGGGTGGCAGAGGCAGGCAGATTTCTGTGAGTTCAAGGTCAGTCTGGTCTACATAGTGAGTTCTAGGCCAGCTGGGGCTTCAGTGTCTTAAAAAAGACCAAAAATGAATGGGATTTTTTTTTTTTCCTTTTTTCT